TCCGGGGGCTTGTCGCTAATGTCCAACTTTTGAATTGCATCTTCCAGTACTGCTTCCTTGACTTCATCGATTTCAAATGATTGAAAATGGCTAATGTGAGTGCGAAGAAAGCAGAGCAGTTCCTGTAGTGATTGTTGCCATGCTGGTCTTTGACAGAAAACTTCTCGAAGATCTGCAGGCATCTTACGCATGACTCGACGAAAAATGTCCTCGAGCTGTTGTGGAGAATTTTGATCGTCTATTTCATTAACTATTTTCATGCAATTGGCAGCGAGAGCCAGTAGTTGCTTCAGTTTATCGACATCAGTAAAGTTTTTAACTCGAGGAAGAGCGAAGAAGGCATTTTTCATTTGCGTGTCAAGCGACTTACTCTTATGAGTAGGAGACAAAGATATCGACGATGAGCTGTAAGAAGGTTAGGTAAAACTTATGATCATATGACAACTTTCAACTCAATTTTACATACCTCATTACTGACAAATCGCTTGATGAGGCATTTACTTGTGGCATTGGTGCATGTTCAAGTTCATCACGTCGAGGAGGAGGTGGAGGTGGCTTGGTGAGCGTTTCGAATTGTTCCAAAAAGCTGGCCAACTTATCCTTCCACTCTTGTACCCAAAGGCCGGAGCACCACACTGGAATACAGTTGACGATCATCTCAAACTGAACTATCTTCTGTTTCAACGTTTCCTCTTGGAGTGGATTGGTGGACAAGTAGTTTCGAATAATCTTCTCCAACTGGGCGAGTTGTTTTGTGATTCGCTCCACAACACGCATGTCATCCTGGACTCCCATCACAGCGTTGACTTAGAACTTGACTTAGAATCGGTTTCAATCGAGAGGTTTGAGGTGATATTCGAGATAAACACAACAATTTCAAGATAGAATAGAATCGGAACGACGCACGCGAAAAAGAAAGCGTGGAAAAAGCGAAACTTTTTTTGACAGCTAGCCTAGCCACATGGAAGAACAGCACAAGTCACAGCACAAGTTTGAAAACTTGTCACCTTCCTACCTTCCCTTTAGAACAGGGGGCAGCACTGTCAAGCATTGGGAAAGTAAATCTTGTCTATCTTTGAGAGGAGGAAATAAAGGCTCTAATTGCGTCGTTCACAAAAATAGTTTCTATGTGCACGAATTTGAAAAACATGTTTTCTTGTGAAAAAATACCTAACGGATTAGAATAGTTCTATTTCTCTCTTTCGTTCTTGTTATTCCTGATCTAATGTCCTTTCAGAGAGTTTGAGCGAATTGAAAAGATCATTGTCAATGTTCTCGACGTAGAGTTGGCAATTCTGAGTTGATTAAAGGAAGAGGAAAAAGAACGTGCCAATTCGTGAGTTGAATACGCATCTGCAAAATAAGTTCTAAGAACAAAATGCTTGAGCAGTGTTTTATACATTTCTGAATAAACTTGTAATGAAATAAGTCATTCCAATCATTGATTAATCATTTCTGACTCATATCGCACTAGAAATGTTTCCCGCTGACGAACAGTTCAAAGACTGGCTGCTCAATCGCATGCACCAGCATCCCAAACTGCTGTTTCTCNATACATTGCTGAATAAACTTGTAATGAAATAAGTCATTCCAATCATTGATTAATCATTTCTGACTCATATCGCACTAGAAATGTTTCCCGCTGACGAACAGTTCAAAGACTGGCTGCTCAATCGCATGCACCAGCATCCCAAACTGCTGTTTCTCCTTGATCACTACTGGAACCAGCTGGCGCTGTACCTACTGATCAGTCCACTGCAGTACCTGCACTTGGGGCACTGCCTTAGTTACACCCACTGGCTTAGTTTCACTTTCACCGGCAAGGTCACTCTTCTAGTTTACCTGCTGATGGTGTTTCTCTTTTGGGAGAGCATTCGCATCACCGTATATCACCTATGCAAAGCTATGGAAGCCGGCGAAAACCAAGAAATGATCGGTAAACGTCTCGACAGCGTTGTCAAGAGCACTATCGCTGATTTTCGCTCGATGTTTAAAATCTTCACAAACTCTGTCAGTGAGCTTTCGAAAACGTTCGATCCTTCTGAAGAGCAACTGGGTTAATTAACATCTCTGAAAAGCAATTAATGATTGTCACATTTTTCGTTGCCTCATTAACTATTTTCATTAATTTATCAGAAAGGCTTCTTTGAATAATAAAAAGCTTTAACAAAGTGGTTGAGCAAAAAATGGTCATCAACTTCTAGCTCAAAACTGAATTTCTAAACTGACCTGNGTGCAAAGCTATGGAAGCCGGTGAAAACCAAGAAATGATCGGTAAACGTCTCGACAGCGTTGTCAAGAGCACTATCGCTGATTTTCGCTCAATGTTTATAATATTCACAAACTCTGTCAGTGAGCTTTCGAAAATGTTCGATCCTTCTGAAGAGCAACTGGGTTCATTAACATCTCTGAAAAGCAATTAATGATTGTCACATTTTTCGTTGCCTCATTAACTATTTTCATTAATTTATCAGAAAGGCTTCTTTGAATAATAAAAAGCTTTAACAAAGTGGTTGAGCAAAAAATGGTCATCAACTTCTAGCTCAAAACTGAATTTCTAAACTGACCTGTACTTTGTGAGTGCTCATTGCGCAGCACACTGTGAGACAGTTGACGCATTTTTTGTTGTGTTATTGTGGTGCTATCAGTTTGCCCTACGTCGTTGATCTTTCAAATGATTCAGCCAATTAGGTAAGTTCCCAAAAGTTGTCATCTATTCAAATCAACCGACACAGTATTTTCAATTACTTTGCAGATATTCTCAATGTATCTTGCAAAGGATAAAAAGCATCTTGACTTTAGTTGCGAGGAGGAATATTTCGATCAGGAAAATGGTGACTTTGAAGAGGAAGCCTATTCGTATACTGTCTTGCCATTTGATCAGATCACAACACATATGATGGAAATCAGCAAAGATGTAAGCGGCGTAATTCAACTGCCGACGCCAACGACGCGCATGTTGCTTCATCATTTCAACTGGGATGTGGATAAGCTGTACGAGCGCTACTACGAATCGGATGATCCTCAAAAACTTTTCAGTGAAGCTCATATTGTCTATCCAAACGATGCTAGCAAAAAGAGTCTAAAAAATGGCGATACTTTTGATTGCATGATTTGCTACTGTGATTATCCAGCTAAAGTTAGTTTAATTTAGTGTATGATGCAACATTTTCCTAAACTTAACTTTCCCATACTTTCAGGAAACTGTCAATCTGGCGTGTGGCCATAGTTTTTGTCGCGCCTGTTGGAACAGCTATATCACAGTAAAAATAACTTCTGAAGGACAGAGCGTAATGATTAGCTGCGCAAACTATGACTGTGACATTATCGTCGATGAAGAAACAGTTCTTGCGGCGATCTCCGATCGAGCGGTCCTTCGTCGCTATGAGCAGCTGAAAATTAACAGTTTCGTCGATTGTAACAAACACCTACGTTGGTGCCCAAAAGCAGGCTGTAGTCGCGCTGTGAAGGTGGAGTTTGTCAAGTTTAAGCCAGTAATTTGTCAGTGTAAAATGGTCTTCTGGTAAGTTCATTGCTAAAATAAATATTTCCATCAATTTCCATCACTTTAATCTTTTCCACCAGTTTCCTATGCAACGAAGCTTGGCACTTTCCGCTCAAGTGTGACCTGCTGAAGAAGTGGGCAAAGAAGTGCTCTGACGAGAGTGAAACCTTCACTTGGATTGCTGCGAATACCAAAGACTGCCCGAACTGTAAATCCCCCATTGAGAAAAACGGGGGCTGCAATCGAATTCTTTGCCGCAACACCAACTGTGGCTATGAATTTTGCTGGCTGTGCATGCAAAGTTGGCGCGTTCACGGATATCAGCCCTGCAATCGCTACAACTCCACCGAGGCCAAAGAAAAGGCAAACGCCCAGGCGAAGGCAAGAGAAGCTCTAAAAAGGTACCTCTTCTTTGCCAATCGTTTTATGCACCACGGCGAATCGCTGAAGCTGGAGCATCAGCTCTACGAGACGGTGCACGAGAAGGTGAAGCTGTTTCAGCAGAAGTCAGCCTCCTGGGTGGAGCTGCAGTTTCTGCCCAAGACAGTGGACATTCTCTGTCGCTGCCGTCAGACGTTGATGTACTCGTACGCCTTTGCCTACTACCAGCAGAAGAACAACCACCTGCACATCTTTGAGGACAATCAGGTGGACTTTGAGAGCGCCGTAGAGCAGCTGTCCGCCTATCTTGAGCGGGACCTAAATTTTGATAGTATCGAGAAGGTCAAAACCTCGGTGCTCGACAAGTCAAAGTACTGCGAATCAAGGCGAAAGGCGATGCTGACACACATTGAGGAAGGCTATGACGCAGGACACTGGGTGCTCAATGAAGATGTTCTTTAATTTGATTGTTGCTGTGAAAAAAGGATTTACGCAAAAAGGCTCTCTTTGTTCGACATTGTTTAAAGTAGTGTTATCAGTGAACAATTTAACAGGGTTGTTTTCATAAGTGTGATAAAGATTAACTTTACTGCAATGAAGGGCCATTTCATTTTACTCTTTACACTAGCTTTCGCTGTTAGATTGAAGAAGGTCAGCTCGGCAACAACTTTACCGGTGAGTTTAATGTCTGTGAGTGTGTTAATGTGCTTTTTGAACCGACACTTTTTCTCCCATGTGTCTCAGAATGTCTGCGAACAGCTGCGAAGTGACCCCAGTGTGGGCATTCTTTCGCTGGTCATTGTGCCCATTCGACGACAGCTTCTCATTCTGACGACCAACTTCTTTGCGGTTGAAGTTGACTTCTACCGTCGCTTCACCTATCCATCCTGGGCGGGCTATCCGCACTTTCTGCCGCTGCACTTCAAGGAGAAGTGGACCGTGGAGATCACCGCCGATGATGACACCGTCTTTGATGTGCTCAGCACTGAGGAGCGTCGACAGTGGAGGGCGGCGAGGTTTCACTCTGCCTCAAACCGATCAGTGGTGAAAGTGACCACGCCGCCACCACCTCCCACCGGACTGCTCATTCACAATGGCAGCACCAGCAGCACTTACTACGTGACAGTGACGGGAGAGGAGGAGGGACCGACTGGCAGACGACTGCTGTGGCGAGCTGTGGACCGAGGAAGGGGCGTCGAGAGGCGGGTGGTCAGCGGTGATCAGCCAGTGGAGGACCGTACTCTGTGCGTCAGTGCGCAGGAGTCCAGCAGAGGATACTCGGTGGCGGTGGCCGCTGATGGGGCTAGCTGCTTCACACGCACTGACTTCTATGCCGGCAGCACTGATCAACATATCAGGTAGGCAGTTGGCTTTTTTGTAAACTAATAAACAAATTTGTCTGTTGATCTCCTGCAGGGTCGTCCGCTACGCCTCCTCTGGGAAGTGCAGCAGCAGCAGTGCCGCCGGCCCTCTGTGCGGCGCCCTCATCAATGAGCTGCTCTTTGCGGTGAACAACACCGCGAAGACGCTGTCCATCTACCCGGATCCACTACTGGGCGGTCGCACTGCGCGCATTCAGACAGTGCCATTCGCCGAGTTCTTCGCCTGCTCCCCGGCCTCCAACTCCATTGAGCTGGTCTTCCTGCTGATCGTCTGCTTTCTCACCGTCATTGCCGCCTGGGGCTGTGTCATGCTGTGCTGCTGGTGGTGCAGGAGGAGAAGGGAGGCAGCCAGGGCGGCGAAAAGCCGTGAACGGCAGCGATGGAATCGCAGGTGGAGACGTAGGGAGAGGACTTACTCTCGTTACTGATAACTCAAAACTGGCAACTAAGGAGCCGTTTAAGGAGCCCCTTTCAGTGTGGCGACTAGACAAATAAAGCAATCAGTTGAGTGGTCAAGTTACAATCAAAGAAGAAATGGGCTTTTATTTTTTATTAATTTGGCAGCTTTCCATGAAGTTAATCTAATGAAAAAACTGCTGACAAGAAAGAAGGCTACTTTTCGAGGTTGACTCATGCCGGTTTCTTCGTTCCGTAGTCGCTGATTTCACTCATGCGGAAGGTGGCGAGAATGGCGGAGAAGGTGATGGTCACGTAGGAGAAGATGGCCACCTTCAGCGCCAGACTCTGCAGTGCCCAGGCCAGGTACAGGCCGTACGCGAACATCGACCCGGTGAAGACGATGTTAAAGAGGACAAACTTCAGCGTTCGCCAGCCACACTGCTTCCGCACCTTGACCACCGTTCCGGGAAACTTGTGATACTGCTGGTGCAGCTCCACCAACGCGTCCTTCTTCTCGAAGGTTCGGTAGAGAAAGTCTGCGTACGCCAGATCGTCGGCATCAGGTTCCGGCACTTCGGAGTTGGCAATCTTGCCCACGAAGAAATCGCCGCGGAATGACTGGTGATGGAAACAAAATGTTAAAATTAGTGTGAAAATAACGCAAACAAAAAACCCCTTACCTTTCCCTTGAAGAAGTTCTCTATTGTCGGCTCTGCGTACTTCTCATCGACCTGACTGACGAGCTCGATGTTGTACATTGAAAAGTGCGGGTCGTTCTTTGCATTCATCTGTCTGAGAGTGGCCGCAAATCCCTTCACTCGCGGGCACAAGTGGTGTTTCAGTTTGACGTCCAGGCCGTGCTTGGCAATGAACTCCTGCGAGATTTTGTACTTCTCAGCAGTGAAGCGAGTCCCTTCAGGGGCAATGAGCAGCTTGTAGGGCATCTTTGAGCGCTTCAGCCGCTCTAGCTTTTCTTTGATCGTCTGCTCGTCCTGCTGCCAGTTTCGTTCCAGGAAGATGGCATCATTAAAGTAGAACATCCAACCGACTATGGGCATGTATTTTATACTGGACTTGGCAAAACCTTTCATCGAATTAAGTGAGTTGGTCATCTGCCCGAAGATGTGGTAGAAGAAGACGTCCAGCGGGTATCCGTGGTTTGCTACGAGGAGGGCGTTTTCCCCGTTTTCGCAGAACAGGTTCATCGTCTCCTGGGAGTCGAAGCTGACGCGGAAGCTAATTGGACACTGCCACTCGAAGATGTAGATGAAGGATGTCTGAATGACATTTTGAAGGTAGTTGTTGAGGAAGCGGCGCAGATCAGGGAAGATCTTCTTCAGCAGCAGGTAGTTGACCAGTTGTAGGGCATTGATGAGAAAAGAGGTGGTGAAGAAGAGCAGCAGCAGAAGGCAGAAGACGAGCTTCTTCACCAGCTTGAAGACCTTTGGATTCTCGTAGATTGGACCGCGTTGTTCCATGATGACGGTGTTGGTGGGCTGAACAGTTTCGTCGTTGACTTTAGCGGGCTATATATTTAATTTCGCTTTCAAACAGTGTGTGTGTGCAGTGTAAGATGCCACTGCAGTGACTGAAGTACCGACGAAGGGAGCTTCCACAGCTCCGACAACTGGTCGGAGTCTTCCCAGGAATACAATGTACTCACCTCACAAGTGTGCTGTTTGTGTGTTGCCTTCACAGCAGATACACACACAGCTGAATTACTGTATACTGTCTGTCTCTGTGTACGGCAGGCAATCAGTAGACAGTAGTTTCGCGCGCTCTCTCTCTCACTTCACTGCCTCCTCATTATCTCTTTCACCGCCTTCACTGTGGTGGCCAACCTTGGTGATAATCAATAGTCGACGATGATGAAGACGACGACGACAACAACAGTGAAGTCGATTGATCAGACTCGGCGATCAAGATTCAATTGCCTTTACTCGGTCTTAGCCTGAACTGTTACTGTTACTTTTCGCTTTGATGCGCTGTGCTTGTTAGCCACTTTATGCTGGTGATGACCTAAAAAGAGGAGGTCAGCTTAGGGACTTTACTGCGCCTTTTTACGATTAACCAGTTACAGCTGTTCATTTCATTAGAAGACGAAAGGCTGAAAATAAATAGTAAGTAATCAGAATAGAGTAGTATCAGTAAAACATTGATTGCTGGTAATCAAAATGAGCAAAACTTTAAAGGGGATCAAAGGGAAAAGTCCACTGACTTTTTGGTTACCACAACAAATGGGGTGGCTTTAAAAAGTTGCTGCAAATGGTGCTGGAAATGTCCAGAAGACAACTTTAACTTCAGCTGCAATGAGTTTAAAGTCCACTGCAACTAGCCAAAGTTTGTTCATTGCTGAACTCTGCTCATGTACTCTTTGAAGATTGTCTATCCGAAAACTGTCCTCGTAATGTAAACAAAGCTAATCCATCCGAAAGCCACTGACATCTGACCTCAAGAGAGGAAGCGAGATTGTCCTCTCCGAAGATTGTCCTGACAGACAATCGTACCGTGGTACAGGCAAACTTTTCTGGGTAGTTTTCGCACAAGTAAAAGTGCAAATTTTGAAATCCGCAAATGTACCTTAAATTGGGCTAATAAGCGTTTCTATCCAGTTCAATATCAACGGAGAAAGGCACTTTGCGCTTCCTCTTATCAGCTCACTTTCTTCCGCCTATCACCCAGTGCCGATTGTCTGCTTCACTTCTCAGCCATTGGCAGCAGCAGCAGTACTTTGCTCCCGGCACGTGAAAATCGACTTTTTTCTTCCTACTGACGGACCCAAAAAAAAGAATGAGCTAAATATAAAGATGCAAACCAGTTCATTGTTGAATGCAGGAAAAGTTGTTGAATACTGTAAAGCTTCAAATCTATCTCTGTTTCAAATCAGCCATGGGCACCGCTGTGAGCTACCTTCCGCACGCCAAAACCGATGAAGTCATCTCGAAGACTAAAAAGGTGGATCGAAGCACTAAACACCCCTTTCCGGTGAAAATTGACCTGGACACCTTTTCCGTGCTACTAGTGCTTATCAAGCTACTGGTGATCGTCTACGACGTAGTCAGCACACCCTTCTACGCACTGTACATGCAACCATGGGCGAAACGGGCGGCCAACCGGGCAATCAGAGCNGTTGACCTGGACACCTTTTTCGTGCTACTAGTGCTTATCAAGCTACTGGTGATCGTCTACGACGTAGTCATCACACCCTTCTACGCACTGTACATGCAACCATGGGCGAAACGGGCGGCCAACCGGGCAATCAGAGCCCGCCAGGAAGATCCCACCGACCCCTACTCACCGTACGTGTCTGCTGTAAAAGTGGAGCCCAGAGTGCTCGAGCACTACCTCTACAAGGCGGAAACTATTGCCCACTTCCAGAAACTCACCCTCGAGTCGAACGACCGGAAGCAACCGGCCCTTGGCAAACGGCAGCTCTTCAGTGTGAGTGAGGTGCTGACGAGGACCGGGCGGAAGATGACCAAACTAAGTCTCGATGACCACTACAGCTGGCTGAGCTTGGAGCAGGTCGACCAGACCATTGGCCACCTCGCTAATGGATTTCTCACGCAGGGGGTCCAGTACCAGGAGAAGGTGCTCATCTTTGCCGAAACCAGAATGGGTAAGAGAGTTTTGGTTGGTGTTTGTTTTCTGACTTATTTTTTGTTATCGTCTAGAATGGTTTCTCTGCGCCCAAGCTTGCTTCCGGATCGGCGCTGTCGTGACGACGCTTTACGCCACACTCGGTCTGGAGGGCATTGTGCACAGCTTCCAGGACACCGAGGTGGAGCACGTGGTCACCACGGAGGACCTGCTGCCGAGCCTTCTCAAAGTCATCAATCGCATACCCAAAGTGCGCCACATCACCGTCATTCAGCTGCATCATGCGTTGCTGCTGAAACAAGGCAAAGTGGGTCAGGCGGACTTTGACAATGCCACACAAGCGGATGGTGGGCGAAAGGTGACACTGACGACGTACGATCAACTGCTGGATATAGGCCAGCAGTGTCCACTTTTGGAGTACACCTCGCCCAAGGCTGATGATGTGGCGGTCATTCTGTTCACTTCAGGTACTTGTTCTTACTTTTAATTACAATTAAAATTTATTCACAGTTATTCTCAATGCACAGGCTCAACTGGAAATCCTAAAGGGGTAGTCCAGACCCATGGCAACTTTATCGCTGAATTTAAATCTCTCTTCTCGATGATCAACAATCCACTGCTGGACGCTCCCAACAGTCACACCTTCTACGCCTTTCTCCCTCTAGCGCACACCCTCGAGCTCGTCTGTGAGCTGTTCTTCTTTGGCGCCGGAGCTCGGCTCGCCTACGGCCACCCGACGACAATGACTGACGACGGCACCTCGATCACCGCCGGCCAACTGGGCGATCTTCGCGTCGCCCAGCCGACCTTCCTCGCCGGAGTGCCCCTCATTCTGGACCGAATTCGCAAGTCTCTGGCCACCAAACTGGAAAGTCGGTCCATCTTCTGGACGCAGCTTTTCAAGTACGCCTGTGCCTATAAAAACTTCTGGTTAGGCCTAGGCTACGATACGCCCATAGTCAATCGATTGGTTTGCAAGCGAGTTCAGGCGCAGCTGGGCGGTCGGGTGGAGTTCATGTTCTGTGGCGGAGCGCCGCTCAGTGCTGACACGCAAAAGATCATGAAGGCATTTCTCAATATCAAAATTATGATTGTAAGTCTTTTGGCGTTGATTTGTAGTCGTATTTTGCTCACGCTTTTACCATTTACTTTCTAGGGATATGGCTCAACCGAAACTTGCGGCGCCGTACTGATGACTGATTTGAACGACAATTCAGTGGGCCGTGTTGGTGGCCCGATGTCTGGTCAGAAGGTTCGCCTGATTGACTGGCTTGAAGGTGGCTACTCGGTGCATGACAAGCCTAGACCACGCGGGGAGATTGTCATCGGCTCGGCTTCAATTACCAAAGGATACTACAGGCTGCCCGAGCAGACGGCAGAGACTTATGAGGTGACGGAGGATGGCACAAGGTGGGTGAAGATGGGAGACATTGGCGAAGTTTATCCCAATGGAACTTTTAAGGTAAGTGGATTAGTTGTTTGAGATTTTTGAGAGTTAATATTTCAATTTGTCTCCTTTGAAGATTATTGACCGGAGAAAGGATCTAGTGAAGATGCAATATGGTGAATACGTGTCACTGGGAAAGGTAAGCAGTGCATTGTTTTAGTTTTTTAGCTTATTTTTTCTTTTTTCAGGTGGAAGCAGAGTNATTAATATTTCAATTTGTCTCCTTTGAAGATTATTGACCGGAGAAAGGATCTGGTGAAGATGCAATATGGTGAATACGTGTCACTGGGAAAGGTAAACAGTGCATTGTTTTAGTTTTTTAGCTTATTTTTTCTTTTTTTAGGTGGAAGCAGAGTTGAAGAATTTTAAATACGCTGAAAACGTTTGCGTCTACGGCGATTCTATGAAGATGTACACTGTGGTCTTCATCTCACCGAGCATTGCTGCCTTGCGTAAGCTTGCAATCAGTTTGGGTAAAGCCGTCGACCTTCCACTGGAGGCACTGTGCGCTGATGAGGACATTGTCTCGGCGGTCACCAAAGAACTCCTTCAGTTTGGTGCAGAGGCCGGTCTCAACAAAATGGAGATTCCACAAAGGGTCAAACTGTGCAGCGAAGAGTGGTCGGTTAAAAGCGGCTTTCTCACTGCCTCTTTGAAGATCAATCGTCAGAATATTCGCACCTTCTACCAGGCTGATATTGAGAGAATGTACAAACAATGACACACTGCGACAACTTCAACCATTTTTTATATCTCATTGTCCTTTACCAGTGCAGTGCATAAATGTCAAACAGAGAAAAAGACTTGCTCACTACAAACTTGTTGGCAGACACAAAAATAAGCAAAGCATCCCGTACATTCGGATATCTTGATTTTTTTTGCTGCCGCCGCTGCTGCTGCATCATGCGTGCACCGTTTATACCGAAATGTCC